TTTTTTGATTACAAGGATTCATTGATTAATCATAGGTCATTCAAGAGCACAATATGTTTTCATCATAATAAGTACTAACAATAACATTATCGGAGTTATGCTTCTGACTCAAGAATTTAATTTCTTTTAAACAAAAAGAAAATAGCATTATAATGATTATTTTTCATCGTGAAAGTTGTGGTGAAGCAGTCGAAAAAATCAAGTAGATAAAGATATATGACACGTATATGTCAAGGAGTACTAACACATTTTTGTATTGATTGAGGAAAAGATTTTACGTATGATATGATTTATTTGCATTATGTTATTATTATTATTTATGTTATCTTTTATATAAATTATATAGTACCAACAAATATGAATAAAAGGGAAAAGAAATAAAATCAATGATTTGAAATATACCACAGAAACGTACAAATTTATTGTGGGTTTTTCTTCTTTTTTTTGAATTATTTATTAAATCTCTATCATTCAAGCATTTTGCTTCTTTAGCTGGATATCTAGTCTCTACTGTAAATGAGAATCATTTACCAAAAGCATATGAGTGCCTATAGATAAATGAACTCTAAGTCAAATAGATTTCAACCGTTTTTTTCTGAAATTTCTTTTGAAGAATTTTTCCTAGTCTAGAAGATTTTTCCATAAATTAGAGATCAATAGCTATTGCTGAATAGAAGTCTGAAACAAATATTTACATCAGAAAAGTTTTGACTGGCTATCTATGATTTCATCAATTGAAAGTTAAATTTTGATTGATAAATACACTAATAAATGTCTAATTTCTAGTATAGAAATGTTACTTGAATTCTTTGAGATCCCGACATATAACAAGCCTTAAACTATTGGCATCAAGTTTGTCCAATAACTGCTGCTCAAAATGATAATAATCAAGCAGTACTATAGAATTCTCGTTTTGAATGGTATGATGAAATTAAACTTGCATTAAGTAAAACAACTGATCAAACAGTTACTTTAGATACTTCAAAGAGAAAACAATTATGTGAAAAAAAATCGAAAGCAATTTAGTCTTTATCATATCTTTATTTTTTATTTTTTCAAACGATATAACAAATTGGAAAAGAAAATTCAACGTGCACTATTTGTTCAACATATTGAAGATAATACGTATTGATTGTCTTAATGAATAGATTTTTTGGATTAAAAGAACTTCGTTGTTATACTTGAAATTTCTCAAAAATTTAGAAGTTCTAGTAATTATTTGAGTTTTTTTTAGATAAATAAATAAATGAAACCAAATGGTAATATCTCTTAATTAAGACTTATCTTTTTCGAATGAATCGACATTTAAACGTTGACTAAGATTAACTATTTTTTGGTACTTCAAAATGTTAAAAAACCTAATATGAATACCTGGTTTAAACAAGTGTGTGTGTATATGTATAGTTAACTTACTGCTTTCAATGTTTAAATCGAACAGTTGTTTCTTTTACATCATTCAAAATTTGTTGAATTAATTTTTTACAGAAGAATGTAGAAAATCAATTTATTTTGCATAAAACATTTATAATTGACTAGATGGTATTCGAGTTTCACTTGACTGTAAAATCTGGTTCAAAGCTGTCAATGTCGATTCATGGATTAATCATTTTCAGACATGGTAGTG